GGGTGACAATTGTGGTGATGCAACGATTATGGACATATTTAATTATTTTGGTTATCGCAACAGATAAAACCATTTGACAAACCACGGGTTTCTATTTATGGGAGGGGGTGTTATGGTCCTAGCAGGGCCTCCTCCTAAAGTTGCCTGTGTGGGCGTGTCCTACCGAAGGTTCTGCCATAGGTGCCACCTTTTTCTTTTGTACAGCTCCTGCTCTGCGGAGAGGAGTGTTTGGTGACTAAACTCTTTTTTACTTTTCAGTTTACTGACCAATGTCTGAGTTTTTGTTTGTTTCTTTAAATGGTGATAGCGGCTTGCCTGTCCTTTCAGTTGAGTTATTATAAATATATATATGTATGTATGTATGTATGTATGTGAGTGAAAGTGCTTTGTTAACAGAATTGTTGAATAAGGTGAATTAAATTTAAAAAAATGAGGATCTTTTTCTTCACTCTTCTTTATTCTTTTTTTATGTATTATAGAAGTATCAGTTTGGGACTCTGTATCGGTAGATACTCAAAATCAAATGACTCTGACTCGAGGGCAAAAAAACCTGATCGGGACATCCCTATTGTTAATAGAAACGTTAAGAAAACTCTTTAATTTAACCCTTTTGCCTTTCTGTCTCCTTTTTCCAACCTGGACACTTTTTTTTACTTCCTCTCATCCCCTCAACCACGTGTCAAATTCAAGGCCCGCGGGCCACATCGGGCCCGGCGAGATCATTTTATATAGATTTATTATTATTGTTATGCATGGCCCAGCGATATGAGGCGCTAATAACACAGATCCCATAATGCAGCGCTGCAGTCTCCTTGCCGAAAGCAAGGCTACCTGGGAACATTCCCGCGTTAATCAAGTCAAACTTCTGTTATTGCGAAGCTACCCTCTCACAATGGCCAAGAGAAAAGTTGATTCTGAAAACGGAGCCTTTCAGCACAGGTAGGAGACTGAATATATGTTTGTTTTAATGTGTTCAATAAATGTTTACCTTGTTTGGCCCGTGACCTAAAGTGTGCCTTGAGTTTTGGCCCCCTGTGAAATTGATTTTGACACCCCTGCCCTAGACCTTTTTAGAGGAACGTAACTACAAGCGTCATGGTCCCTGTGCCTCCCCGGCCAGCCCAGTGTGGCCACAAATGTGTTTGTTGTTTGCTCCATCTTTTCTCTCCTCTCTCTGCTTTCTCTCCTGTCTCTCTGCCTGGGCGGAGCTCAGATTGGGCTCCCACCCTTGGCCCACGCACCTGCAGCTGATGACTAGTGATTTGGCTTTTGATCTCTGGCTCTTCTTAAGGCAGGGGCTCTGAGCTACTCGCCACTGGAATATTGAGTAACTCTCGTTAGTATTGCCCGGCTCTGAAGAAATTCTGTTGTTCCCATTCTTGCCTTGGAATAATCCTCGACTTTGTTCTGACCCTGGATCCCGTGAGTGAAAGTGGAGCTGCTTGTGTGAATGATGAGCGGAGGGAGTGCGAATGCTTGTGTTTCCCCCATCCGTGCACCCCCAGAATCCTGGTGTTTTTCCCCCTCACGTGTATAGAGCGCACCCAGTGTGGTTAATAAAGACCTGTTTGAACCATATTTCTCAGTCTGCGCCTGAGTCCGTTCCACCGCTGTGACAACAAGCCCTCCATGTTCAGTCTTTTACTAATTTTACTATTATGGACTTTAACACTAACATACTAACTGAGGTCTGTAGCATCTGAGTTACTGCTCTTGGGATTTAAGTTAAGTAAGCTATCAGTAAGTGCTGTGTAAAACTGGGAATAAACTCACTGAAGACAAACTTGGCTTAAATTCATTTTTACTGATGCCCCACGATGACGTCTCACACTAACTGACAACAACCTTTAATAGTAGCACTTTCCTGAATCATTACATGTTTTATATGAAGGAAATTTTCTTTTTCAGATCTCCACAATAAAAAACATAAGAAAAGGCAGATAAAACACAGTAAAGAACTTCTCTTTGATTTAATTTTTAAAGAGTAAACATTTATTAGGGTTGGGCGATATGTAAAAATTTTCCTACCGACAATCGTAAGTCCAATAATCGATGATGGGCGATATATTCGCGTATGCGCAGACTTGGGTCGGGTGCATCCTTTGTGGACCACCATATCCCAGAATTCATAGTTCATAGAATTCATAGCCCAGTTTCCAACAATGGCGGCAGCTACTTAGTTTTAATATTACCCGTATTACTCTTTCTGGGTCACAAAAAAAACTTTTAAGACATTTTCAGGTGAGAATGTAACTGTAAAAACTTCAAATATCTGCTCGATTTATTAAGACATCACATATTTGCAAACGTGCTCCGATGTGTTCGGATACATCTGTTACCCACTAGCTCGATAGCTAGCCGGGGTTCAAGGCTTGCTAGATCTGGCGGGAACAGCCAACTCCCGGCACATTGTTTTCAAACTTCCCGCAGTCTTTCACTACTCAGGTTAAACATGATTTATAAGTCACTTAGAGAACTTAAAAATGTTGTTTGGCTTTTTTCAGACGTATAGTGCGAGCAAAGGACTCAAACACGACTACCTTCCATGAGCATGTACGTGTCCACCATCCAAATGTTTTTTTTCTGAGGCTACTGCCTTTCTTTCTTTCTGTTACAAGTTTGGGTAAATGAATTGCTGAATTTGGCTGCACTCTGAGGAGGGTGCATTTGCTCGCTGTTAAAACAGTACTATTATTTTTTTTTCTGTTTGCTCCATCACTATTAGTAAATGTACTCATGGGCAAATAAATAAATAAATCGCCCTTGTAAAACGTGGGCTCAGCCCATCGTCGATAGTCGATATATTCATCAAATTGCCCAACCCTAACATTTATCCTTCTGTTTGTATTATTTCTGCTGCCATACAGGTATGGAAGTCTGCCTAGGGGCAACACCACTGGAGCATGCTCCAAAATACTGACGTGTCTTCCCTGCACATTCACTAGTGAGATTCAAGCATACAAAACAGAACTCTATCTTACATCTGGGGCAGATGACATTTTTACATTTCTTTCTGTTATGCTCCACCAGTGACCCACAGGTGGGACAGGCACGAATGGAGGGACAACCACTGACATCCTTCACAGACTCAAAGATGATATCTTCACAGTTTTTCAGGGCTTTTAGTGCTTCATTGCTGCAGCCATCATTATCGCATCGGTCTGACCGTGGCCGGGTACCCTTCCATTCCCTCAAGCACTGCCAGCAGAATTCGTAGTTCTGACCTTTTTTTCTGGTGCACAAGCTGCAGCAAACACTCAGGTTGGATACATCCTTTCTCACAACAGATGAGTTGCATCCAGGACACTGTAATATAGTAGACGGTGAATTATTTTAGTGTGCATAGCCATTAGTTTTAAGCTAAATCAAAAAAGTGTGCCAATACATTGAAGGGAGCATTTTGTCACACACTGGAAAAATGCAATGGTCAAAGGTACCATAAAAATCAAGTGAAATAAAATTTAAAAAAAGAACAGAATAAAAAACTGCATTAATATTAGTAGTCAACTATAATTTCATGATTGAGAGAGCATAATACTCACTAATTTGGAATCGAAGAAATGCTTGGCAGCATTTAAGGCCATGGTCTTTTCAAAGTGCTCCATTTCCTCAGGGGTCAGTAGTGCCATTTTACGAACCTCTGCATAACTCCACTCCTTATCACAGTTAGGCTGCCCACACACAAATTTGCTTTCACCCTGTATTGAAATATAAAATATTATATACACACACACACACACACACACACACACACACACACACACACACACATATATATATATACATACAGACACACACACACACATGCATATATACATACACACACTCATATGTACATTTAGAAATAAAACACTAAAAGGTAGAGATGGACCGATCCAATATTACGTATCGGTCTGATACTGACCTATATTACTGGATCGGATATCGGAGAGAAATATAAAAGTGTAATCCGATCCATTAAATACCACAAAACGCACCTCACAAAACTTGCGACATGCCGTAACCCAGCTTAGCGCGTTGGAGCAGTATGCATTACGTGATAGAGCAGCTGTTGTGTGCGAGACCTGTCAGCGGTCTGATGGAGCATTTGGAGCCTCGGTACATGCTTCCAAACTGGTATTTCATCTCGGAGTAAGCTATCCCAGAGAAGTAAAGCAAGTGTGTAAGTTCATATCCAAATGTTTTAAAGGATTTCCACGTTAAGCTTAACAACCGATATATGGAGCCACAGCTGG